AACTAAGCTGCATTAGTATTCTTCTATTGTAGAGAAGCATGATAAATATGATGTCGAAAATGCAGGAGTAAAGCAGTTTAGTGAGGGTGTGACCTTAGCATACGTAACACCTTGGAATAACCATGGTTCGTATGCATTTACAGAAATAATAAAACAGCCACATCCTAAAGTCTTCATGTATCCGTGATCTTGATTTAGGTTATGACGTCGCCAAAATTTTTAAAGGAAAGTTCGACTAGTAAGTATGTGACACTTTTTGTTATTTAAAGGTTTAGATAAATCGCATTTATCAATGAATTGGTTGTGTAGCATAAGTCCAGCATGGTATAATGTTCATCGAAGGTATCGGTGGATCACGATTTTAATCGATTGCGTGTTACATGATAAATCAAAGTTTTATATCTTCTCTCCTTGCATAGGTTCACATATCGATACGATCTATTGGGTGGTCATGATGTCGATCAAAAATGGATCAAGGATGTTCGCGTCAAAGTGGACGGAAAAATTCGTGGTAAAATTGTACCACGCTTTCAACTTCACAATTGGAATCAATATGATTATCAATACTTTATTCAAGACCCTAAAGAAGCGAGTTTTCTCACAGACACATTGGCCACGGAGTGCAGGTGTTTTTTAAATTCTTATGAATTTCCAAATGAAAAATAAGAAGATAGGTCGTCAACCATAATCGCGAACGTTGTTGTTTTTAGAAAACAGGGATTTGATGGAATGGTTCTCGAGGTGGGATATACGGCATTGCTTCGAGAATTTATAAAGAACTTGGGAAATAAATTGCATGAACAATCACAAGAACTTATTTTGGTATTGGCACCAAAGAGTTCGCTGACGGCAGCACAGTATGAGGATTTCAGTCAATTCGTGGACCTATTCTCACTGATGACCTATGATTATTCACAACCAAGCGCGTGAGTTTTGTTCAACCGAGTTATTGGAATTACCGATGTGTTTCAATTCTTCTAACATAAAATTCCTAGACCTGGCCCGAATGCACCCATAGAATGGATGGAAGATAATATAGTAACATTGACTCCGACGTCGATCAACCGTAAAAAATTACTGTTGGGCTTAAATATGTATGGGACGGATTTTTTTAATGGACAAATGGAGCATGTGATTGGGAACAACGTTATTCAGAAACTAAAACAACACAACCCTATAATCGAGTGGGAAAAAAAATTTGAAGAACATCATTTTCGATATCAAGAGAGTGGAATATCTCACGACGCTTGGTATCCTTCTTTGAAGGTAAATTTGATCTCTTGCTTGAAATAGAATACGACGCAGAAATAAATACCTTTTGCATAATAGTCAATAAAATCAAGACTCGATTTGGCTGAAGATTATGGCACCGGGTTATCCATCTGGGAAATTGGTCAGGGATTGGATTATTTTGTAAGTATTTTTTTTGTGTCAACGTACGGATATCCCTGTGGTTATTACAATAATTAAACAAATTTTTTATTTTCTTTAAAAAAAAAATTGAATGGCAAATAGTACGACTTGCTATGATGTTTCATTGGTTTTTGAGAATACATTAGTGGGAGGGATAAACTGAATAATGATGAAAAAATTCATTACTCCTTCAGAAGACTACATTAACTACATTAAAAATAAAATGTACAAGAAATTAGAACAAGAAATGGAAGCTTGGATAACAGTGACAGTGTTGAACGTGTGAAAAGGAAACCCTGTTCATTATTCAATCATTTCGACTATTTCTATTTAATTAAAGGAAAATTAGTACATGGTAATAATAATAAATTTGGAATTATTCAAAATTTCATTGTATTACCTATATACGGATTCCTGGGCTACTTGCATTTCGTCAATTTCGGGTGCAAGATTAGCAAGGGATTCATATGCTTCTTTGTAGAATGCTAATTGGGAATTAATCAAATCCGAAAGATTTCTGAGAGGTTCGGGCTAGATGCACATAGGACGATAATAATATGGACTGAGACAACATAGAACGAGGAAAATCAATTAATTTTGAATGTGTGGAAGATCAAGATACCGTTTCCAACACAGATTTCATTAGTGTGGTGGCTTCCTCAACCGCTGCCACGAATTTGTCTTCGGCCTGTTCGATCTCAAGTCGGGCCACCTCTGACCTTTCAGGCCGTGCATTCTTATTTCTTGCTTTCACAGCATCAAGGGATAAACGAGTAGACTGAACATTTCTCCTGGCCTTCATGGCGTACTGAAGATTAGTATTCAATGTGACGTTAAAAGGTTGAACAAATTTTTGAGTAATTTCGGCATCCATCTTAATTCTATGATCTCCAAGGCGTTCTTGGACCGTGGCATATTTAAGCAATGCTACGCCAAGGGGGTCTTGGGTACCCATGAGTTGCGCGCCTTCTGATGAGGCACGTGCCAATGCATGAGGCAGAGTTTTGTGTTGAGGTTGAGTTGAAGACTCCGCTTCTCGAGCCTCGACCTCGGCCCGCTCCGCAGGACTTTGAGTCAAGATTTTGAGTTGATCCCCAACACTACGTGAAATTTCGACTACTGATTCTTGCAGTTGTCCTGGGTAGTCATAAGAAGAATTCGTATGAATCCGGGTAACTCGAAGCAAATTCGTGTGAACAGTGTATAGGGCATCAACTCGCTGTCGACAGTAAATATTTATGAGCTAAGATTTTCTTTTTCGCAAAGGTAAAAACCCAATGGTGAATACCTTTTCAAGGTCCTTATATTCTTGAGGCAGATCCGTTATTTCTTCGGCAGTGCCAAGCTTCTCTGAGGCGTACTAGTGAAAAAGAAGAAGCGATTCAAGAAAAAAGGAAAAATTCGTTAAAAAGTTCAAGAAAAGTAGAAATGAACACCAACCTGGCGAACTTGGCCAATGCTCTTGTTAATATCTTTCAATTTTGGTAGAAACTTATCCATTTGTAAGCTTGTTTGGTATGTGGTATGAAAAGAAGTTTTTTGAAAGTTATGTGAAAGCAACAGCAAACGTTACGGTATTTGTAATTTGTAGTCATTCTAAGCCTGAAAGGACTGACGTAACCGGAATATATTACGGGAGGATTTTTGAATCAGCCATAAACGGTGCGACTTCACGTGCCAATTTGGAAAATTCACGCGCCTATAAAAATCACGGAAAATTTTATTGATGAGATCTTGGGCTGTACCGAGACCTTTTTATTAAAAATGGAAACTTCACCATTGCGAATGCCTCTCACTAGAGAATCTTATTCCCCCAGGGAGGATTGCGAAAGTGAACCTTTTGCTCGTAAAAAAAACAACACTCTAGGTCTTAGAATACTTCTTATTTGTATCTCTTCTTTTGTTGTACAGACTGTAAGTTGATATAGAGAGCTCCACGCTTTGTAAGATATTTCCCTAAAACCTCATGCTCTGTTCCATCGACATAGGAACTCGCGCAGTTTGTTCAAAAGGAGAAACAATATCATAAGCCATATTTTATATTGTAGGTATGTAATTTTATTTCTGTTTAGAAAACACGTTTTCTCACTGCTAACGCGAAAAAAATGGGCTGCTTAGATGGGTGGCACATAGTATTTGGATAATAGTGCTACCACTTCAGTTCGCTTTTAGACCGCACCTCGGTGAATATGTTCAAGAGTTTCTTGGTATCGGTGGTGAATTATTCAACACGGTAAAACCTTCATACCACCCTGTCCACGTAGACTTTGAAGACGCTGATGATACGCCTTCTATCATTAATTACTTGCGCCATGATCCTGTTGTCTCTTACCTATTTAAAATTTCCGCGTTTTATGCATCATGCGTTTGCCTAGTGGGTTACAGCTGGTATATCGCGGTGAACCTAACTACCACGGCCAAGCTAACTACCATTTACAATACGAGCTGTTTTTGGACATATGTTTTTTCAATTATTCTTTTGGGAGAATTGGTGAAGATGGTAAAGATTGGTGCTGTTTGCCTAAGCATCGCTGGGGTAATCATAATGTCCTTTTTTAATGATGATCAAAAGATTTCTCAACCCGATGATGATATTGCGATTTTTTATGACAGCATCTTTACCTCTGGAGATTTGATAGCATTTTCAGGTGCAGTTTTATACGGGCTATGTGAAGTTCTGTATAAGAAATACGTGAGTCCACCAAGACCTTCGATTTTATTCTCCAACACTATAACTGGTTTAATCGGTACTTTCACCTTACTGTTTTTGTGGATACCTATTCCAATATTGCACTGGATTGGAGTTGAAGAATTCGAACTTCCAGATCTACTTACTTTCGGCTATATCATCCTAATTGCTTTGGCAGGTGTTGTGTTTAATGCGAGCTTTATGTTGGTCATCGCTTTCACCTCACCGATTTTTGCGGCTATCGGAATAATGTTAACAATTCCGCTGGTCGCGGTCGTAGATGTGCTGGTGACCGGTAATCCATTAGGTACAAGTGTCCTAGTTGGTAGTCTTTGTATATTTCTGGCATTTCTCTTACTAAGCTGGGATAAAATTAATATTGAATTAAGAAATTAAGATAAAGAGTGGACACGAGAAATTTTATTTGTAATCCATATAGTACATCTATAGATTTAAACTCCTTTGTACATTTATTAAATTAAAAGTATTTATCGGATTCCCAGAATTCTTGATTCTTGGACACTACTAAGCGCCCTTTTTCCAGTGAAGAAGGCCAGAATTCCCAATCCGGTTAAAAAAGATAATGTTTGGAAAATATTTAAACATGTCCAATACTTGTAAAATAAAACTTCAATAGCAATGATTGAGCTTAGGAAAAGTAGTGAGGACAATGGCAAACTGGGCATCTTTGTGATTAATGAAACGTTCACACGCAGATGCATCCACTTTTTTTAAAAAAAGATAACATTAGATATACGAATAGGAAACATGTCGAATCGCATAAAAAAAATACTTACGGCTCCAATCAAAAATATCCAAGGCGTCAATATAATCAAGACAAAAGCGGATGATAGCCATATTGGAGGTAATTTTTCATCGGGTCTGAATATATGCGAGATCTCTGGTTTCGGACCGTACACAACTGGTGCGGGTTTGGGCGAAGTAGATGGTACATCAATTTCTATAGTCCCAATGTGATATTTAATTGGATGATTGTGGGAAAACGTTCCGATGATAAGATCGAAAGAATAATTCCCCGGTGATGAAGTAAGTTCTTTAGGTGCTGAGTTCATATCCTTTTTTTTTAATATGTTATGTCCAATAATTATCATCGGTGAAAACTGGGAACGTTTTGCAAATAAATTATAAAGAGAAAGATTTGAGTTTACCAATTCAAACTTGGATTTTCCGTTGTCTCTGACTTGCACAATTAGAGTTATCTGATCTCCCGTTTTCTCCGAAGTCAGCACCGCAAAAGTTTGATGTGGAAGAAAACCCTTTTCTGTTTGTTTATCTTGGATAATGAATATCATCTTAAGATCGTCTCCCTGAGATAGAGGGATTGGTTCGTCGAGTGACGAGGGATAGTCAACGCTGTACGGATTTATTTAAATTAATTTTCAGTGTCCTGTTTATCGCCGAATAAAACTGAAAGGTAAATTGATACCTCTTATAAAACTTTTTAGTGGAATCCTTGGTAGTCACGGCCAATTTAAAGTTGGAGATAGTGAGCTCATTTCCATCGGCCTGCTGAGATCGCTCCGTCGAAGCTGTAATCAACAAGGCCAATGATAAGACATAACATAGCCATATTAAGTTTTTAAAGAGACGTCCCATGTTTTCAACTGATAACTCGGGGATGTAAGGACGAATCGTGAAGTTATCATAAATTCACGGCAAACCAATGAAAGGTTGCCACATTATTGTCAATCAAAAGAAACACACAATCTAATTAAAGTAATCGATAATCGGATTGGATAATTAACCCCACCAACCTTATTTTCAATAATTTGAGCCGCAGCAAATTTGTCAAATTACCTATCTTTTATATTTTAAAAACTAATGGTAACATGATAATAATAAAAATTTAATAAAATCAAAAGATTTGGTATTATCATAAAACATGATTTGATATTTTTTGAAAAGAATAGTTGCCCAAGATTATAAATTAATAAATTAATCAAGGAAGTCACAGTGTGTTAATATTTAAAATAAAAATACTTTGGATGTTTCTTATGTAAAATGTATAGATCAGAAATAAATAATTATTCTTGGGACCAAACACCGATGAATCTTGTTCTTCCTGCTTTCAATTGAGATTCCTTAATTTGTTATCGTGCAACAATTTGTTGGACTTTTCGGAATAATAAATTTGAAGATCGATGCAAGCACATCTATAAGCTATCTTTTTAGCTTCTGTAAATCAAAAAAACTTCACTTTAAAAAAAAAATGCTCAGAAACGCAACTCACTCCGGTTCTTGGTACAGTAATCAAGGTGATTTGTAGTTGAGACATATTTTAATTGTAAAATATACATAATCCTAAACACTTTTCGAATTCCTAGGTTCTAAATTGAACAAGGAACTTGATCAATGGTTGGGAAGAGTTCCACCCCATATAGAAGAAGGTCTCCCTACTCCGGTCCCAGGTGCTCGAGCAATTATTGCGCCGTAAGTTCTACGTTCTGCTTGTAGTCCATCATTAATAAAGTTTTATAAATAAATCCTTGGTTTTTTTCAACAGGCATGCCGGATATTCCTATAGCGGACCAGCCGCCGCATACGCCTACAAATGCATTGATCCCGATTTCGTGTAGGTTGTTGAATATACGGTATATTAGGATTACACGCGATCGTGCATTGAATTTTTTATTTTATTTAATTAAGGAAACGCGTTTTCATCCTTGGTCCTTCTCATCATGTGTATCTCACCAAATGCGCACTTTCAAAATGTTCTCAGTACAAAACACCATTGGGTGATCTTACTTTGGACACAGATGGTAGTAATCAGTTTTCTGTCTCTTCACATATTACCTAAACTTATTAACGACCAATTAATTATAGTGATCAACAAGTTACGTGCCACCGGTCATTTTGACGAAATGACTTTGGACATCGATGAGGATGAGCATAGCATCGAGATGCACCTCCCGTATACTTACAAGATCTTGGAAAAGTAGGCTGAACTACAATTTTATATAGATATTCTTGATTTCCTGACGATTTCTAATCATCCACGAAATTCACGTCACAGTAAAATTGATTCCATCAAAATCGTTCCTATTTTGGTCGGATCATTGTCCGAGTCCAGTGAAGCCTTTTATGGAAAGTTGTTTAGTCCTTATCTCGCAGACCCATCAAACTTATTCATCATCTCATCAGACTTTTGTCACTGGTAAGCAAAAATTTCCAATTTTTCCCTATTTACGACTTCTTTATTCTGATGATTTATCATGGTAAATAAGGGGACATCGATTCTCGTACACTTATTACTCGGATTCACCGGAGAAGGCCTTCTCTCTTTCTCGTAAATCAAATAAATCACTCACCATTCCAATACACGAATCTATTGAAAGACTTGACCATGAAGGAATGACCATCATAGAACATATAAATCACGAGGAATTCGCCTCTTATCTATCGAAAACAAAGAATACTATTTGCGGAAGACATCCCATTGGTGTACTCTTATGCGCGATTGAGGCATTGCCGAGCAATCCTGATACCGCTGATGGAGATAAAAGTAAACCTCGAATTCGTTTTGTGCATTATGCTCAATCCAGTAAAGTGACTCATGAGAGTGATAGCAGCGTTAGCTACGCGTCAGCTTATGTGTATTTACCGTGATCAAGCAATTATATCTTATATTTCCCATCAACAATTTTCATACATCAATAGAATTTCGCTATCAATTTTTATAAGTTACAATTATCTATTAAAGTCATACTTTTTGTACATCTTAGCTCTCCCTTTTCCTGAATTTTCCTTGTAACCAAATTCTATACATTTGAAGTTTCCTATGCCGGTTCACTATTAACCTCCTGTCTACGGCATTTTGTTCAAGTGTAAACCTTGTGCCCCATAGAGCTTCAATTTCCTCTAAAGTTTACACGTTTGAAGTTAATAACTGGATTCCTTCAGATTCCTTAAGAAGAGTAAAAATTCTTATACTTTGTTACCTGACGTAAAAAAATATACTCGGGTACCATCGCCACGAGCGTAAAAATTATCGGAAATCATCCGACCTTCTTTAAACCTTAACTGTACCATATCGTACCTGCCATAATCTTTTAAATAAACAATGTCAATTATAAAATCATTTATATATTTATAGCATAGTTAAATTCATTCGATATGTACCTCTAAAAAGAACAAGACCACCAGGTTTAAGCATCTGCATAAGAACGTGGTAATTAATATTTGATGATGGGACCTTACGTATTTAGAAAATACCCAAAGAGAAAATCACCTTGTAGACATTTTCTATAACCTGGTTCCAATCTTGGGGGCGTATAGCCGACATGACGAAAATCAACACCACTATATCTAGACTACCCTGTTCTATACATTCCGGTATTCTGTCGCTGGTCAAATCCCAAACGAATGCTTTACATTTACTGGGATCATAATCTTGATTGTTCTTTTTTTTTTTTTTAAAAAAAAAAAAGTAAATTATGTGTTCATATTACAGATGCTGTGAGTTGATTACCATAACGACATCGACAGCATTCGAGGCAAAATCACACGCGTAAATGAATAATTCGGGGTTTTTATTCTCGGCCAATAATGGAAACATGGTATTCCCGGCGCCACACCCTATTTCGAAGATTTTCTTTGAGCCAATCTAAAAAAAATGTTAGGTAATCTCTCAGTATACAAGGTGATAAATGTGCCGACGAACTGTCATGGTTAAAAAAAAAAAAGTACATGCACCTAACTTTGTAGCTTCGACAAGTTCAGGAAATTCGACTTTCAACCATTGGCGATCTTTGAAGAATTTGTTTTCGTTATGACGATAAAAGTCATTCCAGTATTCAGCTGCTTGTTGGTGATATTTTTCTATTATTTTTTTTACGCATTTGTGAAATTTTCGATTAAGTATTTGATGTATGTATGGATGGATTCATAAAATCGAAATACGATTTGACCATTACCTTGCTCTTCAGGTAACATCGACTTGACGGCTTGTCTACGAACTTGCTCCAGCGCCGACTTTTCCTGTTCTTCATCCCACTGTACGTTATCCCTATTTTCGATAATAGAATGGCAAGAATTGTCTGAATTTGTAGATTCGAGGTTTTAACCGCGGATCAAATGAGTTTACACACCAAGCATTATGATTCCATACGTTATCCTTATTATCCAAGATACGAGTCCCGAATACCGGAGTTCCTTCGCGAACATCACAAACGCTCGACCAATCTTTTTTAGGTTTTGCGTTTGTGTTGGAGGAAGTCACTTCATTTTGGGAAATCTGATCGTTTTCCTCTGATTCGGACATGATGGCCAAAATTTTTTATTCCAATTTACATCAGAAAGCAAACTTTTTATATAATTTATTGTTGCACGAACTATAAGAATTATACTGTACTGTATAAATTTTGCAAATCCTGCATGTTCGCATGGCGACAGCAGAAATTATGTCAGTAATCCTTAATAAGCCGATTTATGTCTTCATAATTATGGTGGGTATTAACTAACTCTTGTGGTTAATTAAATTTTTTCCTGTTCCTGTTAATGTTTTTTAATAAAGGGCGTCAGTGGATCAGGCAAAAGTTCCATTGGAAACCTCATTTCACATGAACTTGAAGCGCCATTCATCGAAGGCGATAACTTACATTCGCCATCTAGCATAGAGAAAATGGAATTGGGTGTGCCACTCGATGATTCCGACAGGGAACCGTGGCTTCGATTGATCAAGGAAGAAATCATAAGATTAGCAACTTCGATGTCATCATCATCGGGAGCGATACCAAGAATTTTGGTAACTTGCTCAGCGTTAAAATTAAGATATCGGAATTTCCTAAGGCAAATTCATTTGGACAACGCAGGCGTAACAGATATCCAAGTTTGGTTTATTTACTTAAAAGGAAGTAAGGAAATGCTAGAGAAAAGGTTAATACAAAGAGAAGGACATTTTATGAAGGTTGGAATGTTGAGGTCACAACTGGAGACCTTGGAAGAACCAAAGGAAGGACTAGAAGAGAGGATCATCGTTGTGGATATTGATAAAGATTTAGATAGTATAAAAGATGAAATCGTTGATAAAATAAAAAACAAAGGGACTTGCTAACGCAAGATTTCTTTAAAGAATTTTTCTATTTCAAAAATAAAATTTTTTTTTTGAATATAATGCACTATATAAATCTGTTATCAGAACTGTCTTTATTTGAAACCTTTTCTATTCAAAAAGTTTACCGCAAAAATTCTTATATTAGATATTAATATTAATATAGTAATGCGAATAATAAATAAAGGTTTTCTAAAAAAACTGTAGAAAAGTGCTAGCTATGGTTCTCTAAATGTTCAGTAAGAAATTCATTACGCTGGTATATATTATTTTTTTATCTAACTTCTATGACAAAATTGGAATTTAGCCTTATTACTTTCTTAATTGATCGAATTTATTTACAACTTTCGGACGATATTTGTACTGTTATAAGTTCTATTGTTAATAAGTTACGATACAAAAAAACGCTGAAACACGTGAATTAATTAAATTATTGTAGGAAATAGTTTAATAAAGGAATAATAATAAATAAAGAACTGCAAAAAGAGATAAAAATTGTATCTATGAAAAATGGGCGTCCAATCAATATCTCTTTCTTCGAACTCTCTCATCCGTTCCATTATTTTTCAAGAAGTCAAAGGCTTTCCTCAAATTTCCATTGGTTTCTTTCAATGTTTTACTGACCATCTTGTGCTCGAACCCACAGCTTTTCAAAAATTTCTCCTTTATCTTGGTTTTCTCCTTTTCCACGTTTTTCCCCCACGCTCTCGCCACCTCCTCTTCAACCTCAAACCGCTTGTCTTTCAAGATAGTCTTAATTGAAAGCTTAAATGCACCACTGATTGGCCTATGATCAGATACATTACACTCATACCTTTCGTAATGCTCTTGCGCGATATTTGGTCCTCGATATAATATTCTATCGCACCAAGCTGGTGTACGTTTCTTTTCCGAGGTGTCATATTGATCCTCTCCCGGATTATATTTATAGGTTGGTGCAAAATTCGGTCTTCCTTCCGAGAATGGTCGTAATCGAAAACCGGGATTCCGCTCAAACTGTTTATATAATTGATCATGTTCTAATAATAATGCGTAATCTTTATTTTTGACTGCCTTCAATACATCTTCACGTGACATGTCAATTCGGTAGTTCAGGTCGCCACTTAAGAAGCAAATCTCATGATCCGATATCATTGTACCGTCGCCTCCGTGAACAAAAATTGATTCATCTACGGCGCGTAACGGAAATTCTGTGTTATCTAATATGTTGCCAACATCTGTATTTCGCTCTTTTATTTGTGCTTGTCCTGCGGCTAAATGACAATTCACAAAACATATTGATGAATCCTCGTATACAAACCGAGTTGCTATTGAACCCTGAGTCATGGAAATTGCGATACATTAAACCTAGTAAAGAACATAAATAAATGATAATTAAAGGAATTTGAAGTATAACACACACCTTATTTCCATGATACCCTTTTAATCCGGTTTTCTTCATGGCAACATCGATATGATCTATATATCCACGTTCGGATTTTTTCACGAAGATGCATGTGAATAATCCGACAAGATGATCCGAACTGATAACTTCATACTGTTCTCCGCCCGTTGCGTACTCACGGACCGCCTTAACAAGCTTATCATGCCATGCTTTGTAACGTTGTGTCAAGTTCGCAGCATTTTGCTTCTCAACCTTCTTCTTTGTCAAGATGGTTTCTGTTTGAGATCAAAATATTTAGTGAAATTTGAAAGAAACGACAAAAAATCATTCTCTACTTACTGGCGGTTTGCTTCTTTGACTCCAAGTCTATGATTTCTTGAAATCCTATGACAATTATATCGGGAGACTTGGTACTCGTAAACCAGAGCCTTAAGAACTTGATGGCATCATGAGATCGTTCTAAATCTGTAGGTTTTGAGGCATCAATATTCCATGAGCATATCAAAACTTTAATATCTCGATAGTCGCAATATTCTTGTTCGTATTTGCTCATTTCATCGGCTAAAAAAAAAAAAAAAGGAAGATGTTAGACTCTTAGGTGTCAATCATTGATTAAATAATTAAACCCGCATGAAACTCGAATTACCAATCCAATCTTGTCCCATCAGACCGTCCCATACTTTGATTTGTCCCTCAGCACTACAACTAGCCACTTGAA